ACCCGCCACCACCTCCCTTCCCCCCGCCCAGTCAGAGAAAGAAAGGACGGCAACCTCGGCTGGTCCACGCCGCCGGCCCGTGTCGGCGCCAAGCGCGGGACACACCGCGGAGCAGAGCCCTGGCCGCGCAGGTCCGGCCGTGCCCGGCCCAAAATTATTCTTTTATCAATAGGAAAAATGGTAAATGATTTGAGGCAAGAACACCAAGTGGCAGACCACTAACATCACCAATATTAGAGACAAAGACCTAAGTTACCACAAAATCAGTAGCTATGGCAAAGAAAGAATAGAACCTCAAGACTTAGCTAATGATCGGTATTAGGATTAAATGGACAGAGAGAAGCCAAAATGATTACAAAATCTCTCAAAAGAATTAGAAGTATCTAAAACACAGCTGGTGATCAAAGAATAGTACTAGGAAGGGATAGAAATAGAAATTAGAAGAAAGATTAGTAATAATAAAAAGAGAAGACCAAGAAACGAGCTGATGCTTAACTCGTGTCAATAAAATCACTCACCACAGTATCTCTGTTAGCAGATGGTGAAAAGGTAGAAGAGAAATGTCAAGTTGGAATGAAGATTCCTGTCCCTAGTGGTTACACCTTACAAAAAAGGTGGATTACAACATTTTGCAGCCAGATTCAGTTCAATACAAGTAAGATAAATGACTGTTTGAAGGGAAAACTCATTTATCTCCTGGGAGACTCTATGCTACGTCAGTGGATCTATTACTTACCCAAAGTTATAAAAAGTATGTAGTTATTTTATATTCCTTTACAAATTCAGTTGATTTTAAAATATGTTTAATAGGATCTCTATTCACTCTAATTTTAACTGTTTTATTTTTGTCTTCATATGTCTTCCTGAATTTTAATCTTGTAATTTAAAATATGTTATTCCCTCTTTCAAAATGAATGTTGCTTCACCTTATAAATTCCAATAAAAACTTTGTATTTTGATTAATATTTCATACATAGAAACTGGTAATTTACCACAGAGGTTAGGAATGCTCTAGTCAGAAATAATCTACATAACTGAGTATCAAATGATATCTTTAAAAAATATATTAATCATTGCCTTTTAGTTACAATATGCATGTGTGTGTGTGTGTTTTTTTTTTACCAGCACTAAAATTTTTTGATCTTCACGGAACTGGATTATTTAAGAAACACTTGCTTCTGGATGCAGAGAGACACACTGAGATTCAGTGGAAAAAACATAGCTATCCTTTTGTCACTTTTCAGCTCTACTCTGTGATAGATGAGGGTTATATTCCTCGGGAACTTGACCGGATATCGGGTGACAAAGATACAGCTATTGCCATTACCTTTGGCCAGCACTTCAGACCTTTCCCCATTGACATTTTTATTCGCAGGACCATCAGTGTCCGAAAGGCTATTGAACGACTGTTTCTAAGAAGCCCAACCACCAAAGTGATCATTAAGACAGAAAATATTAGGGAGATGCATATAGAAGGAGAGAGATTTGGAGACTTTCATGGTTATATTCAATATCTTATCATGAAGGATATTTTCAAAGATCTCAATGTAGGTGTCATTGATGCCTGGGACATGACCATTGCATATGGCAATGATAACGTCCACCCACCTGATCATGTAGTTGGAAATCAAATTAATATGTTTTTAAACTATATTTGCTAAAGCATAAAAATACAAACTCACTAAGAATCAATCTCTACAAATAATGTTATATGTATTGTTGAAGAAATTTTGTTCATTTAAGAATTAAGAAAATCAATTTTTAAAAAAATGTTTTATTATAATTTCTTTTATACATTCAATCATATGTTTCTTAGTTTGCAAAGTGAATATTCCAACATGTATACATTTCTCACTAGTCAAATTAAGAATACTATACATGTTATCTTCAACAGATAATAACCCATTTCTTTGTTCCATAAATGTTTTGCCTCTCTAAATCAAATTTAAAAGATTCTGTTTTGGCAGGAAGGACATTTAAAGACAGTAACAACTGGAAGTCCTAGTCAGAGCAATTAGGTAAGACAAAGAAATAAAAGGCACCCAAACTGTTAAGAAGGGAATCAAATTATCTCCATTTTCAGATGATATGATCTTTTATGTGGAAAACCCTAAAGGATTTTCCACATAAAAGTGTCCTAGAACTGACAAACAAATTTAATAAAGTTTCAGGATAGAAAATCAGTATACAAAGACCAGTAGCATTTTGTATACCAATAATGAAATAGCCAAAAAAAGGAATTTACAAAAAAAAAATCCATTTATAATAGCTACAGAAAAACGAATACCTAGGAATAAATTTAACTAAGGAAAGGAAAGCCCTCCATAATAAAAACTTTCAACTACTCATGAAAGAAATTAAAGACATCTAAAAATGGAAAGACAGCCCATGTTCATGGACTGGAAAACTCAATAATGTTTCAATGTCAATATTACCAAAAGCAATCAACAGATTCAATGCAATCCCTGCCAAACACCAATGACATTCTTTACAGAAATAGAAGAAAAAAAATCCTCAGTTTATCACGGAAACACAAAGACCACAAATAGCTAAAGCAATACTGTGCAAAAGGAATGGAACTGGATTACAAATATATAGTAGCAAAAACAGCATGATAATGACAAACGAACAAACAAAACAACATGTAGGACAATAGAACAGAACAGAGAACCCAGAAATAAACCCACACATACATAGGCAGATTATTTTTACAAAAATGCCAAGAACATCCACTGAAGGAAAAAAAAACAATCTTTTCTAGCAAATGGTGCTAGGAAAACTGGACATTCACATGCAGAAGAATGAAAATAGAATTGTACAGGAACTCGAAGAACTCATCAGCAAAAATACAAATAACACATTTTAAAATGAGCAAATAATGTGAATAAACAGTTCTCAAAGAAGACATATGAATGGCCAATAAGCATATGAAAAAGTGTGCAACATCACTAATAAGTAGGGAAATGAAGATCAAAATCATTAGGGAAATACAGATACATCATCTGACCCCAGTTAAATGGCTATAATCAAAAAGACAAAAAAAATAATAATAAATACCTGCATGGATGAGGCAAAAGAGGCACTTTTCCACACTGTTGTGGGAATATAAATTAGTGCAGCCATATGGACAACGGTAGAAAATTTCCTTAAAAAAAAAAAAAGTAAATAAAGAATTGCCATATGATCCAGCAATCCCCCTACTAGGTGTATAGCCAAAGGAAAGTAAATCAATATGTTGTAAAGATACATTCACCTTAATGCTTACTGCAGCACTATTCACAATATCTGAAGTACAAAACCTATCTAAGTGTCAATCAACAGTTGAACACATAAAATATTGTGTATGTGAGTGTCTGTGTGTGTGTGTGTTTTGTAATGTGTACTATTTAGCTATTTAAAAAGACAACTTCTATCATTTGATGTTAAATGAGCTAGACTGGAGTCATATATTAAGTGAAATAAACCAGGCACAGAAAAAGAAATATTATTTCTTCTCTCTCATATGTAGAAATTGAAAATAAATTATATCATAGAAGTAGAGAGGAAGAATGACTATTAGAGACTGTGAAGAATGGAGGGAGGCAATGAATAGAGTGATATTGATTAACAGAAAAATATTTCAGATAGATAAGAGGACCAATTTCTAGCATTATAGAATACAGCATGGAGAGTATAGTTGTTAATGTGCTGTATATCTCAGAGTAACTAAAAAAGAGGATCATGAATATTACCAACACAAAGTAATGGCAAGCGGTTGAGAAGATGGGTATGCTACTTATTCTGATTTAATCATTACGTATTTAATTTTGTGTGAAAAACGATCTCACTGTACCTCCATAATATGTACAATTGTAAAGCGTCAATTAAAAAAAAAAAAGACAATGACGATGATATGGGACAGCAAGTCAAGAAAATAAGACAAGCCTGGAGCTTGTCTGTGTGTGTTAATAAATATTTTTGTTCTTTAGGCAAATGTGTGTCATAATTTTTTTTTTTCACTTGTGGCTGAAAGCTTCATACCTGATACTTTGTATGGTTAAAGAAAACAAATGTGGTCATCATGTTCTAAAACAAGGGTCACTACGTTTTCCTCTTAGAGCATTTCTGCTGTTATAACAGAATACCTGAGACTTGGTAATGGACAATGAACAGAAGCTTATTTGGCTCACAGTTTAAGAGGTCGGGATGTCCAAGATCAAGGAACCAAATGTGGTGAGCACATACTTACTAGTCATTCCATGGCAGAAGAGCAAAGAGAGGACAAGACAGGGTTAAGAAATCAAACCCACAGCTGCAAACCCTTATATAACTGACATTAATCCATTCATCCTCAAGGACAAATGAAGTCATATGAGGCCCACTCTGTTCTGAGTAGGTCAGGTCCCCTATCTGTTCTCTGCATCCACTTCAGTGAAGGGGCACCAGCTTTCTGGAGGGCAAGGAACAAAAGCTATAGCAAGGTGATATCCATTAGTCACTGTGCCAATGACACCTTTCAAGTCCTCGCTGAAGTATCTGGAGATGGATATAAAGATGGGTAACTCCCTTCTGTGCAAGTCCCAAAGCTCTGTATTCTCCCTTGCTGCCTGCCTTTAATCCTGCTCTTCATTAAACTCACTGGGCAACCACATTTGAGCCTATCATCTGTTTCTTGACAGGATTATGACTGACCCAGAGGGAGCCTCATGTGCAAATGTACTGAAGTGGTGTCCACAAAATTGAAAGAAGGCAGTACACCTGGGAGTTAGTGAACAGGGAAGAAAGTGATGAGAGATGAGAGAGGAAGGTGACTAGGGCCAGCCATGTCCTGAAGAATCTGTTAAAGGAGTTTGGATTTTATTTCAAGGGAAATAGGAAGCTATTAAAGTGCCCCATGCAGGGAAACTCCTTTTTATCCTTTTTATTAACTTGTATTTTATTAAATTAATACATTCACATTGTCCAAAACATAAAATTGAGCTAACTATAGCATCTTCTATACCAAAAAACTAAATTCTACCACTCTCTCCATCCTCAAAATTAAACCACTTTGAGTTATTTTTACTTTTTTAGGTTTATCCATTTATTTTATGAGCAAGAGACACAGGAAAGAGAGACAGACATACAGAGAGACCACTTCCAACAAGATTCTGATGCTGCAATCTGCTCCCAGGCTTCAGCTAGTACAGATCATGGGCATACATGTACCCAGCATACTCAGGGAGGTTTTTAGATTTGAATCAGGAACCTTTCCTGTGGAATTGCCTCTCAGTGTGTTGTGTTTTACTGCAGAGCCAAATCTGACACCTATTTTAATTATTTTAACTGTTAATTACCACCATACTTTATAAATATCATGCTTGTGTAGCTTATACAGTTACACAAATCTCAATTTTCTGAATAATTCTTTTTTTTTCAAATGAAAGAAATCAGCATTGTGACTACCACTCTTTTTTGGTTTCTCTTTGCCTGGAATATCTTTTTCAGCCCTTCACTTTATTTATTTATTTATTTATTTATTTATTTATTTATTTATTTATTTATTTATTTGGAGA